CAACAAGATAGTGGAAAACAGAATACAGAGGGTCATCAAGAAGACCATACACCCTGCCGGGCATGGTGGCGCACTCCTGTAATCCCAGCACTTGGGAGGCTGAGGCAGGAGGATCGCTGTGAGTTTGAGACCAGTCTGGGCTACATAGCGAGTTCCAGGTCAGTCTCAACTACAAAGTAAGACCCTGTCTCAAAAAACCAAAAAGAAAAAGAAAAAAAAACAAAACAAAAAACGAAGATCATACACCCTGACCAAGTTGTTTATCCCAGGGATGCAAGGATGATTCAACATACATGAATCAATAAATGTAGTGCACTATATTAAAAAAGCCAAGGACAAAAACCACAATCATCTCAACAGATGCAGAAAAAGCACTTGATAAAATCCAACACCCATTCATAATAAAACCCCTATATAAAATTGGAATACATTGTCTTTATCTCAACCTGATTAAGACTATGAAAAACCAACAGCCAACATCATACTAAATGGTCAAAAACTGAAAACTTTCATGCTAAAATCAGGAATAAAACAAGGATGTCCACTATCACCACTCCTGTTCAATACAGTTCTATAGCTAATTATCTATAGCTAATTAGACAAGAGAAAGAAATAAAAGCAATAAAGATAGGAAAGGAAGAAACTGTCATTTGCTGACAATATGATACTCTACGCAGAAGACCCAGAAAACTCCACCAAAAGACTTCCAGACTTAACTGAAAGATTCAGTAGAGTAGCTGGATACAAGTCCAACACTCAAAAAATCAATAGCCTTATTGTACACAAAAAACAGACACAATGAGAGAGAAATTAGGGAAACAATTCCTTTCACAATAGCACCCCAAAAAATGAAGTACCTAGGAATCAATCTAATGAAGGAAAAGACCTCTAAATTGAGAACTATGGCACTCTGAAAAAAAGAGATCAAAGAGGATATAAGAAAATGGAAAGTTCCTTTTTCCTGGGTAAGAACCAATATAGTGAAAATGGCCATACTTCCAAAACTGCTATACAGATTCAGTGCATTCATGATTGATATCCCAACAGCATATTTCCAGAACTAGAGAAAACAATCCAAAAATTCATTTGGAACCAGAAGAGAGCTAGAATAGCAAAAGTAATTCTAGGCAACAGAGATTTGGCAATGGGTATCACAATCCCCAACTTGAAACTATACCACAAAGCCACTGTGATAAAAACAGTGTGGTACTGGCAAAGAAACAGACCTGAGGACCAGTGGAACAGATTAGAAGATGCAGAAACAACCCCAGACATACTCAGCTACCTCATCTTTGACAAAAGAGCCAACCATCCTCACTGAAGGAAAGAGCCTATTTAAAAAATGGTGGTGTTGGAAACACTGGATTTCAACCTGCCAAAGATTAAAAGTAGACCCACATCTATCACCATGCACTAAACTAAAACTAAAGTGGTTTAAAGATCTAAATATTACAACAGCAATACTAAACTTGCTGTAAGTTAAGTAGAACTCTTGAAGACACTGGCACAGGAAAAGACTTTATGAACAAATCTTCAGTAGCATGGGAACTAGCACAAAGAATCAACAACTGGGATCTCATCCTATTAAAAAGCTTCTGCAGTGCAAGAGAACCCACCAACAGGGCTAAGAGAGAACTTACAATGTGGGAAAAAAATTTTACCAGATGTGCCTCAGACAAAGGACCACTATCTAGAATATATAAAGAACTCAAAAAAATCAGACCCCCCAAATATAAAGACTAGTACAAAAATGGGCATCTGAAATAAGCAGGTATTTCTCAGAAGTAAAAGAAGCAAATAGACATGAAAAAATGTTCAACATCATTAATCATTGAACAGATGCAGATGAAAACAACACTGAGATTCTACCTCACCCCAGAAAGAATAGCTGCTATCAAGAAATCAACCAATAACAAATGATTTTGTCCTTGGGGATATGGGGAGAAAGGAACCTTTCTCCATTGTTGGTGGGAGTGCAGACTGGTGCAACCACTGTGGAAGTCAATATGGGGATACCTCAAAGAACTAGGATTAGAGATCCCATTTGACCCAGCTATTCCTCTGATGGGTATCTTCACAAAAGAATTAAAAGAATCACACCATAGTGATATATGTGCTTTCATGTTTACAGCAACATAGTTTGTAACAGCTAAAGCTTGGAAACAGCCTAAGTGCCCAACAACTGGAAACTGAATAAAGATGTGGTTTTGTTTTTTTATAAAATAGAGTACTACTCAGTCATAAAAAAGAAACTAGAGGCATTTATAGCTAAATGGATGCACATTGAGTGAAATAAGTGAAATAAATAGGACACACGTGAGCCGGAGATTTAGCTCAGTGGTTCCGCCACAAGGTCCCAAGTTGCAACCCTGGTACCAAAAAAGAAAAATAAAAAAATAGGACACACATGTAAATACCAAATAGTTTCTCTGGTGTGAGAACTGAAAGTGTAAATGAGGATTAAAATGAATAATTGATAATGTGAAATAGGAAGAAGAATTCCAAAGGGGTAGGGGAAGTGGGAGGGTAGGGGAAAGGAAAGATGGAAAAGGAAAAAATATAAAGGAACAAAATGGAAACAAAGTCTTTATAAATAGGGAGGTATGGAGGAGTCAAAGGGAGGGCAGGAAAATGGGGAAGGGGAGAATAAGAACCAAGATATATTATGTAAAGGTACAAGTTCCTAATGATGAATGTAAATGTATTATATACCTAAATGAACCAATAAAAGAGTTTAAGAAAACAAAACAACTCAATGAATAAGTACTAGTGGATACCAAATTTTATACACTGGATAACAGAACTACCAGAGCCACTCTAGACACTTATGGGCCCTTTCAGCCTTTGACTGAGCAATGCTGGCCGGGGCTTAACCTGGGAAAATCAAATCAATCAGCTCACCCACGTTGAAAACAATTTCTGTCTTGAGATTTGGGGACTTTTCCTTCTGTGTGGGCTTAACTCCTACTTATGTCTTCTGGCAAATTGGACAGAGCATGCACCCTTGTTTATCTGACCCTAGAGATCAATATGGCACCTCATAACCAATCTCTTCCAGTTCCTTTAGCCACTGGGACTTCCCTTGACAAGGCCTTTATTAATGCTTCTCATAGCCTTACTATTTGGACCATGCATATTTAATCTCTTAGTCAAATTTGTTTTCTCTCATTTAATAGCTATTGAACTACAGAAGATGATCCAAGCCAAGGACAAAAATCTGTCTTCGCATCTAGATCTCATCAAGGAATCCTTAGTTCCCAGGTCAAGTAAGGCAAGAGTCCCTAGTCTCTCCATTCCTATTAATCAGGGAGCAGCTACAGAAGACAGGCATTCCATCCATCATCAGCACCCCTTAAAGACTTTCAGGGACCCCGTCTCAGGCAGAATAATACTGATAGTACAACTGGGGCTGATGGGCCATTCTCCTCCACTCGTCTGAACCTCGCAAACATCCCAGGGCTAACCCCCTGAATTTTGTACTAAGGCTTACTATTCAGAGGCAGATAAGAAAAGCAAAGACCCTGAACCTGCCCTAGAAAATTTCAAAATTCCAAACCTGCTGGCATGACCTGCAATAACCTTTTCACCGGGAGCTCACTGAAGGTCCATGCATAGGGACTGCATCTTATACATCCAATTATGACAGTGAATTATGGGAAAGAAAATGCGCAGGAGACACAGCTGACGTGACTCAGCACCCTGTCAATCATGCTCTGAGAGCCCAGGTGAGAGGTGCCCTAGAACCAGTGCACCCTTTTAAATCTCTAAACCAATGCACTCAGCGCTCACCTCGTTTTCCTTTCTGCTGGCATGAGCCCGATCACTCCAAGAGTACTGCGTCGCCTAGTTAAACTTTGCTGCTATCTCTTTACTACTGCATGCCATATCTAAATCTTTGTTCATTGAACAGAAGAACCTAGGAACCTAGGACCCCATCACCCACAGTACGAAGAGCTTCTAAAATGTGGCTTAAAAAAAAATCAAATTAATAGTCACAAGCCAGCGACTCCAACTAATCAAGCCTCACTGATTATTAAACATATTATTTTTCATGGGCTTCCCATCTAGAGGCTGTCTAGTCACAAGACTGACAACTCTGAATGACCCGTACCTCCAGCTTTTCCAGCCACACTCAGCTGACCTGGCTGTCATCTATCTAGGATTACCCTCTAAGGGATATAACCTAGGAGAAAACCCTTGGCCTAATGGAACCCAGGCTCCCCCTTGTGGTGTGTTCCTAAATTAAGTGTGTTACGCTGCTCCTTCAATCCCATAAATGGTGAGAATGTGCATAAGTGAACTCCCAGGTTATCTTGTCCATTACTGAAAAGGGATCCCCATCTGTTCCTTTTCCTCTTTCCAGCCACAGTATACTGGGGCTGGTGTACTCACATTAGCTCCTAGAATATATCTCATTTAATGAAACGCAACAAGGAGAGATCACAACCACAACCACCCAAACTACAAATGGCAATTAAGGATGGAGGCCATTCCACATTTGAAAGTTTAGAAATGAGGAAGAGGAGACTCACTGGGATGGAGAATAGGACCAGGGATAAACTGATCTAAGTCAGTTCCTAATTTTAGTGGCCAAGGCTGAACTCTGAATAATGAGACAAGAGATACAGAATATCCCATGAATGTTGAAAGCTTCCTCAACAGAATGCATGCTTGTGGCTAGCACCCATCCTTATCCAGGAGTCTGCATGCTGCTTCTGAACATGCAGCACAAGAGGACTGAAACATTTAGGGCAGGGCCGGGGATTTAGCTCAGTGGTTCAGTGGCCTGCCTTGCAAGCGCAAGGACCCGAGTTCAATCCCCGGTACCAAAAAAAAACACTTTATGGCAACCTATGCCTGAGAATAATCTAACATCTTTAAAACATGTCCTCTCCTCAACAGAACTAGAGGAAACAAAGACTTCTGGAGAAGCTCTTATACTCATATTTTTGATAAATCCCAGAGTTCTCAGGGATGCCTTACTCTTAGTCTATTACTAGTGCCTGGGTGTCTGGCTACTCAGCTCTGCGTGCTGCAGCCAGAGAAAGGAAACTGAAGGCTTCTTGGCCCCTTCACTGGCTGGGGACTGAAGGCACAGGGCCTCGGCTGCAGCAAAGGAAATGTCGAGGTTTCCTTGTAGTTCAGAGGTTTATTAGCGAGTGGGTTTGGGCCAGCAGGTGCTTATAGGCTTGATCCTCACACCCTTGGTGTACCGGCAGTGGGGGTGGATGAGGCTCACTGCTCTGCTGGTCCCTGATGATGTTACACCATCAGGAAGATGTTGGGTCTTTCGCCTGGGTCCAAGGTGCCAGGGTATGAGCAGGTGCCATCAGAGAGATTCCACTTGTGTTTTTAGTGCCTGAGATGGAGAGGTGAGGGTTTTGAGGATCTCGGTGTAGTAAGAGCCAAACACCTGCTGATTGTGATGTGTCAGGTTGATGAACTTCTGGCCTAACTCGGCCAACTCTGTCTCAATGAGAGCGAGGCCTCCAGGAAGATCTAACAGAGAGCGCGGCACACCAAGAAGCAAACAACACTTGAGAAACAAATGGATCCGCTGATCTATGAGCAAAACAAGACAATTCTCAGGGAAAGGGCAACCAGATTTCATGGAGAAACACTGGGCCTGCCCTGCCCTCTACTCACCCACCTTCTAAATTAAGTGAAATATTCACTAATCTGTTCACTCACCTGCAGATAAGGAAATGTGTCTTGTTTGGGAAAGGAGCTGCTACTAGCTCTCAAGGACAAAGTGAAGATTAAATAAACAAAAATAGCCAGCATGGTGGCACAGGCCTATAATCCCAGCACTCAGGAGGCTGAGGCAGGAGGACCACTGCAAGTTCAAGGCCAGCCTGGACAATGTAGTGAGTTCAAGACCAGCCTGAACTACACAGTAAAACCCTGTCTCAAAAAGCCAAAAAAATCTAGTGGGTTAGTAAATTTGAGTACTCAGCACTGTTTAAGGAGCACATATGTAACAGGAGGATCCCAGACTGACTGTTCAGATGACTGGGATTAGGAGAGACCTGGACAAGTTTACAGCTTTCATTCTATAGTTAGGAGTCCCCTACCACAGGACGTGTCTTTCAGCCTAACACAGACTTGTTGTTGCTGGTTGTGGTGGTGGTGGTGGTGGTGGTGGTGGTGGTGGTGGTGTGCGTGTGTGTGTTCACACACGTATGTCTGAAATGTCTTGGACTGCAGTCAGAGTTACCAGTAGGCCAGGGTGACTTAATTTGGGTTGGCTGGACAGTATTTTACACCCAGAAATCACAAATTCCTGCCTGCAAATCTTCCTTAGTACCAGAGTCACTCTTGGAACTGCAAGGAATACATTTTTAAACCAGCACAACAGTGACTGGAGACTTGTCCAATGACCTTGTCTTCTATTGTGAAATGGTTCCATGCTTGACTTCCAGGGCCGGGGTCTTTACCAGAAGCTCCTCCAACATTCCCACCACCCACAACCACACTCACCAATGACACTGCGAACACAGTTCTCCTTTTCGGCAATGTTCTGAAGCTGTCTTTTCAGAGATGCTGTGTTGTCACTGCTCAGAGCAGCAAGGCCCATATTTTTGAGGCTTTGATGGATTTCCTGAGATACCTGTTCACTCAGAATCTGCATAGCATCCTCGAGCCTAGATCATGAGTGAAAGTAAGGTGACACCCAGGAATGGCCCAGCAGAGGGACAGGAACCCAGGATGCACCACACCAGAAGTTAGGCTCACTTGGCCCCATCCTGCAGGCAGCAGACCCGAGTGGCAGGTACAGTGTCTTCACTGGTACCCGCAAGACACAACTACTCCATAAGGTGCCACGTACTGCTTCTTAGGAGATAAACTGTAATACTGACTCTGGAAAAGAGCTTAAAGGTTCTGCCACAGTAACCAGTCAGCAGTATTTAGGCCCCTGGATTTTATTTATTTAGTTTTAATTTTTTGTGCTGAGGACCAGACTCAGGACCTAGAACTTGCTAGGCAAGCACTCTACCACTAAGCTAAATCCCCAACCCTTGGTTTTTTTTTTTTTTTTTTTTTTTTTTGAGGCAGGGTCTCACTATGTAGACCAGGTTGGCCTCAAACTCATGGTGATCCTGCCTTAGCCTCCCAAGTGCTAGGATTACAGGCATGTGCCACTATGCACAGTTGTGTGTGTGTGTGTGTGTGTGTGTGTGTGTGTGTGTACACACACACACACACACACACATATATACACATTAAAGCCTTTCCTGGACATCTACCATGATCAATATGCACACATTAAAGCCTTTCCTGGACATCTACCATGATCATTAGTCCTCTCTTATAATTATAATTATAAACCTTGCTGTCTGGGTTTTCTTTTTTGTTTTGCAGTCCCGGGATTGAACTGAGGGCCCCATGCATGTTAGGCAAAGGCTAGGCCTCTAAGCTACATTTACAGCCCCGAACTTGCCTCCTTTTTCTTTTCTTTTTCCTTCGGTGTGATGCCCTGCATTTGTAATATTTTGTCAATACTGCCGACCAACCAGTTCCTGGATATGTGCAGTAACACCAGCCTACTGTCACCCACACAGATGGATAATGGCTCATTTGTAGTTAACTATCCTCCATACTACTCTTTTTGGAAGAAAAGTTTCATTTTTCTGTCACAAGCTTCAAGATCACTTATGGGGGAAAACAACATTCTTTGTGGATGGTTCCAAAGGGACTTTCTGTGGTTTGTGGTACGCAGTAGGCAGTAATTCATCACCTGCCTATGTCCTGAATATCACATATCACCCTCTGCTCTAAAAAAAATAAAAATAAAAAAAGATCAGTGAAACTTACCTGGGACTGAATTCCTCCATTAGGGCCTTGGTGAGGCGTTTCAGTTTATCCACAAGCTGGGGTGAGCCACACAAAACACTGCCAGAGAAACTGCCAGCCACGAGCAAGACTGAAGCCAGGATGGTCAACTGCTGCAGCTCGGCCTCCAGCTCCTGTAGCTGGGTTCTGTCCATCTGCAGGGTCTGGGAGCCAGGGAAGAGCAAGCTCTCAGGATAGGAAGCCCTAGATATAAAGCAAGGCAAAGGCCCCCACTCTTACCTCAGGGAACTCTTCATTTTCAGGGTCCCACAGGAGTAGGTTCAGGAAGCCTTGGGACAACACCACCACAGGGCTGAGGGGCTCAGGGTTGCTGGCTGCCTCGTTTGGAGAAGGGCCAGCCACACCGGAGGAGTCGGCATTATCTGGGCAAGTTGGTGGTGTGGTCAGGTCTGCTGCTGCTTGAGCCAGCCACTTGGTAGTGTGATCAAGGAGGCCTAGGACAGGGAAGGGACTAGGTAAGCATCTTTTCTCTGGGGATTCAAGAAGATATACTCCTGCTTAATAAATAAAAGCTTTGGGATCTTTCTGTTTTGGTTAAATGTTCCTTCTCCCTCCCCTTACCTGAGGAAAAAACATTCTGTTTCTAAAACAGGCAGGGTACAACATTGTGGAAGCAAAACACAGGCTGCACCTTTATGCTCTTCCCTCACGTTACACTTACTGGGATGCTGGTCAAGTTGTTCCTGGAATTTAGCCCGCTCATACTGGATAGAGTGTTCCTCCAGCTGGGGCTGAAGGCTCTGGATGGTGTAGTTCACCATGTCCATTTTCATCAGACCCAGAATCTGGAAGATCCCTCTGAGACAGAGGGAAAGAGAATATTTATACTATGAAAGGAAATCTAGTGAGAAGAAAACTCACATGAGCAGCCATTAAAACACTGCATTCTCAAGCTGAGCATGGTCACACACACCTGTGATCATCACACTTGGCTGAGGCAGGAGGACTGCTGTGAATTCAAGGCCACCCTGAGCTACACAGTGAGTTCAAGACCAGCCTGAATTACATGGCAAGACCTTGTCTAAATAAAACAAAGCAAAACCCCCCAAAACTAAATAAATAAACCACCGTATTCTCCCTATCCACGTACTAACCGGGCCTACCCCTGCTTAGCTTCCAAAATCAGACAAGATTGGGTGTGTTCAGGGTGGTATGTATGGCTGTAGATGATCACTGTATTCTCAAGTTAAGAGGCATCATAAAACTATCTCCTACATTCATAAAAGATGACATGTGGCCTACGACCCAAGGCCAGAAGGAATTGGGGGCAGAACTGGAAACACCTAGGTCTCCCTCACTAGATCATTCTGTCCTCTCAAAAAGGTAAAGTCAGTGGAAGGAAATACAGCATTTTCTTGAAGGTGGTTTTATAGGTGATACTACTGTAAGTGATGCTATTTCCTGGCTCCCTAGCCAAACTGCTTTTTAAAGTTTAATTTTTATTTATTACTACCTTATTTACTTTCTGGGTCTCAGGTCCTTAGTTCCTGCAGCTATGAAACAGGTGTAACCTCCCATCCCTTGCCTACACTATGTAACACAGGGAAGGGATATTTTCACTCCTGAAGAGAAAAATCTCTATCTTTTGGCAGCATATACACAGTGGGACACAATCAGTCCAAGGAGAAACACGAGGAAAAGAAAAAATCAACAGGCTAGAGAAGAGAGGGGTCAGAGGCAGGCCTTCAGCGAGATGAGCCTGTCAAGACAACAGCTGCAATCCAGTGTCCAGTCCAGCTTTTCCAGGCCCTGGGGCTGCGGGTTTCATGGGGCAGTAATCCAGGTCCACACCTCAATAACCCGACAGGGTCTACCATGTCCTCAAGTGTCTGCACTGCTTCATCTCGGACTGGTGCACACAACAGAGTCATCATGTCGAGAATGTACTTAGAAAGGGAAGAGACATCCAGGGTCCCATGTTCTGCTTCCTGCTTGAGGAAGTCTGCATCCAAAGCTGCTTCAATTTCACTTCTTAGGCGGTTCTGGCGTGGTAACAGCAGCGACAACAAGATCTATCCCAAAAAGAAAGTCAAAGGAGGAGTTAAATTTTGTTGAAAGCCCCAGATTTTCTCCAACAGGCAACCCCTTTAGCTACACACATCAGCTACATCCATCTTTTACGAATCAAAATGCTGGGATCCTAAATTTCCTATAGAATATCATTTATCTCCATCTAGGGGCCACTGGTGATTCAAAGTTAATGGGGATGAACTACAGCAATAATAGTGTATCATTTTCTAGGCAGAAAGAGATAGATTAATAAGTTGAAGGAAGACAATAAAAAGAGCAGAGTACAACAAACATAAGCTATATCACACAGTAATGAGATACTCAATCTTAAAAGGTAGACATTCTTGAAGTTATGTTAAAGGGCAAGAATGAAATAGGCAAGGTCAGGCCAGGGATTTAGCTCAGCGGCATCATGCTTGCCTGGCAAGTGCAAGGTCATAAGTTCGATCCCTGGTACAAAAAAAAAAAAAAAAAAAAAAAAAAGAAA